TTTGTATTGCTTTTGTTAAGAGCTTAATTAGGGCTTTCCAGTGTTGTCAACTTCTTGTAAAATAATTTCTGAACTCAGTACACATGCCCTTATGATACTTGCAGAAAGCATACCCTATATAACTTCTAAAGTTCTTCGATGGTTGCCAGTCATTTCCACGAGAAATCCTTGAGAGTGGGCAACGACATGTGACCCATACATTCTAGCATGATGAGGGAAGCAGATTCAATGAAAAGGAATTAACATCAGTGAGGGACACAAGCCCCTCCTTGTGATAATATTCACGGGGGGCCAGAAAGCTGGTATATTGTCACATTTGTGGAGAAGAAGGAGTGAATCTGCTTCTAGTTCATGGATATATTTGGTTTGGCCCTCACAATATATTTTGCAATATATGAGCCATCGTGTTAGAATCAAGAAATATTACATTAAAATACACATCCTTGGCTTCTCATGAAAGATGAAAGAGATCGTCTGAACCTGACTCGTGGCTGCACATCAGCACAGGCCGTGTAATCTACATTTTGTCATAATCATCACCACTTCTCCATACATCCTGACACTGAGGCTAAGTAGTCCATAAATTTGAGGACCACTGTGATGCTTTAAAAGCAAAAGAGATTTTTAAGCAAAAATGAGTTCATTGTCGTTTTTCATTGTGCTCATTGTTATTTTTTTAAATTACTCATATCTCTAAAGTGGGAAAACAAAAGGAGACAGAAAGCAATAATATTTTTTAAGAAAAATGAGAGTGAGCTCATTCCTTGGTGGAAATGAAGAACAGCCCTTGTCTTTAATATGCAAGCAATGCACATGGATGTCTCACACCCAGCGCCACTTCTGTAATTTATGTTCCCTCCCTGGCCCCCAGGAACATTTGAGTTTGCAACTGCCGGGGTAGAGAATGCTTTTTCTATCTTATTTATTAAACTATTCTACATTAGCAGCACTTAGCTCATCAAAAATGTTTTAAAATTTCTCTAAGTGACAAAAGCATAAATCCTAGAGCAATTTCTCACTTTTATAAGCCCAGAAAATACCAAACTGATTTCCTCATAAAGATCCTGCCATCAGTTGAATGGATGAACTATTAGTTTACAAATAGAAAACAGGCCCACAGTTAGGAATCTACTCATGTGCTGATTGTTTACAGACATAATTGGGTTGATGGACCTCAGCCATGATACCATAAAAACCAAGTATATCGGAATGTACATATACCTACCATACCTCATTCATCCTATATCAATGTTTTTCAAACTATGATCTGGAAATACCCAGCAGCCAACCATTGTCTGTGTCCATAGTACATGTGGGTGGGGAGTGGGTAGATTGTATGGCAGGGTCAACTTAACTGGTGGTACAGGTTGTGCACTGAACATCTCCGTGGGGCATGATTGACATGGTCAGGGAATGATGTGAGTGGTCTCCCCTGGAGTTGTGTAAACCGTGGCCCCGGGTGTGGCCAAGCTTATGCAGCTCAGGGTCCTTCACTTCTGCATCGATTGTAAGATCTTTCCTTATTGATTTGTTTTTCATTTTAGGTTTTCAGATAAGATTTAAATTGAGGAAACATTCTATGGTTAAACATAAATTTGAAAACCACTGTGCTACATGATAAGTAAAAGAGATGTTTTTAAGTTGAAGTGATTTTTTCAGATTACTAAATAGGTTTTCCTTGAATGTGTGACAATAAGCCACCAGGAAGAAAAGAACAGTCACCTCTCGTCTTCTCGTAAAATCTCTATAAACATATTGTATTCCCTTCCAAGCCTTTTTTAAAAGTGTATATATATATATATATATATATATGTTTGTGATTTCTTTTTTTGTTTTACAAATTTATGATAACACAAAACATAAAATTTTCCATTTTGACTCTTTCATGTATTATGAACATTTTCTGTGTTTTCACTGTGTGGTTGGAATCATGACTTTTAGTGCCTAGATAATATTAAAGCATGTAATTGAATTGTGATTTATTTAAACAAAGTTCTATTATTTGGCATACTTTTTTCTTTTCCTTTCTTTTTTTTCCTACTAAAAATAATTTATTGTTTTTAAATCTTGTTTGTGGCTCTAATACTTTCCTTTGGTAAATTTCTGGGATCATAATTATAAGAACAAAAGTCATTACTATCTTTAAGACTATCAGATGGAGATAAGTACTAGGAAGAGAATTAATATAGAATGAGGGGATGAAGGGGGCTTGCTCTATTAGGAAGGATTGTTAGGCAAGACCTCTCTGAGGAGGTGACATTTGATCTGAGACCTGAATGAAAAGTGGAACTGAGCCATGGGGCTACCCATGGGAAAGGCCTGCCAGTCAGAGGGCTCAGCAGATGTTGAGGTGCTGAGGTTGGAACTTGCTTTGAGTTTTCTAGAACAGGAAGGAGTCCAGTAGGGCTTCCGTTGGGTAATCAGGAGTTACTTGCAGAATCCAAGATGGAGAATTGACCAAGAAGGACTTTGTTAGCTTTGGTAAAGATTTGCAATTTTGTTCTAAGTGGGATTCGAGGCCATTGAAGGATTTCGAGCTAGAAAGTGACATGATCTAATCCTTTTGTGGAGAATCAACTGTAGAGGCAAGAATGGAAGCAGCAGAGAGCCCAGTTAGTTGAGAGCTATTGCAGAAGCCCTAGAAAGGGACTATGATAGAGCATCAATAGTGGAAATGCCCCGTGCTCTCCAAGTTCAGCAAAAAACAAACCAACTGCAAAAATAAAAACTATGTGTATATGTATGTGTGTGTGTAATTTTAATCTTTGCTATTTTCGTAGGAAAAATCTAATTATTTTGTTGTTTCAGTTTTTTATTAGTGGTGTAGAATATTTATTCAGTTGTTTAATTACCATGTATTTCTTTTTTCCTTCAATGAAACGTATTCTTATCTTTATGCGCTATTACCTCTGATGGGATTTTATCATCGACTTATATGAGAACTTGAGCTGGTCAGATTATTATTCCTCAGATCATCATATTATTAACCTTTTGTCTATCAAATTTGTGGCAAGTATTTTCCTAGTTTACTGGCCACTTAACTTTGTGTGTGATTTATTTTTATAAGCGTTTTCAATTTGAAGCTAGACCTCTACTTGATGATTGTGGCTTTAATTTCCTTTTTGCCAAGATTGGTTGGAGAAAGCTTTCTTTGATTTCCAGGTATTGGGGCTCCTTTGAGTTCCGCCTCCAGAGACACTGCCCCCAGGGCTCTCTCTGGCTTTTATTCACTAGAAATAATTTACTTATGGAACAGGGCCAGACTTTCCCAACTTCCTGACCAGTTGTTTGGGGGTAAGTATGGAAACAGACTATGACTCAGGTGGGAACATGAGGGAACAGCTTTCTAGGTTCCACAAATAGCAAGAGCAGGAAATTAACAATGCCTGAGGGCATCACCAGGAACTTCCGGGGGTTGGTAGGCAAGCTTGCTTCTTTGCTTCATGGACCTGCACCATGTTGCTTTTCCAGCCCTTCTTGATGTTTTAAAGAAGTTCTCAGATCTCTCCTTTTGGTTATTTGATATCATTTTCTTTTCTAAAATTGACCTTTTCTAGGGTAGATTTTGGATGATGATGATGTTTGGTACTCCAACTCTCATTAATGGGGTAGTACTTGGGATATGTATTAAAAGATCATTATAGGTTCTCTTCTGATAAATCCCTTTTCTGTAGAAATCAAAAATCCTTATTAAATCATATTGTTATATAACAGATGCCACTTATTTATTGGTGATAAATTAGAATTCTTTAGATTTAAATAAGAAATTAGGCATCTTATTCTAAAACCAACTTTCAATTATCTGTGCTAATGGTTGGCAGAGTATGATGAAAAGTCCCCTGATGCATATGCTTCTCTGTGATGTCTCTGTGGTGTAGTTACTGCCATTGCTTTCTGTGTTAAATTACAGTTTTGATATGTCCGTTAAATTTCTGTGTATAACATATGCTGATAACTATTGCTAAATGGTTGTTTTCAAGCAAGAGATGTATCTAGTGCTACCAAGATGGCACTAGAGAGTGCAAATGTTGTTTGGATGTGGAAGCAGAGGACAAAATGAGGAAGGCAAACAGTTAGTTTGGGAGAAGACTGGCCTGGTTGAGAAAATAGGGCAGTTAGGGGCGGTGCACCTCAACTTGGGAGGAGGATGGGCATCGAAGTAGTAGAAGGTTCCATGTGTGTCTTCTTCACGTGTCCAAGGAAAGAGAAGTTTGGGCCAAGGATAGGATTATGGAGGAACTGGAAAGAGGGAAATAGGTTCTCCAAGAGCAAGCTGGAGAAAAGAAATCAGAGATGGGACTAGCCTACGCTCAGAAGATGTGTCAAGTGAGCTCCTCCAGAAGAGAGGCTGGGCCTTAAATGTGTCGGGTGCCTAACCCGGCCTAATTGTTCTTGAATCATTCAAGGAATGACATAAGTGATCAACAAAGAAAGGTATCCCCAAAACTAGGGAAATTTAATTTATGTGCCTATGATTGCCCAAATCTGTATTACATCGGCTTTTATACATTATCATGCCTTTATTAAAATTTAAGTGCAAACATATTGACTTGAAACCTTGTCTGACAACATAATATCCTCTCAGCACAGAATACAAATTCTGCATATTTGTGTTGATTTTCTGAACTCCATTTTGGACTAGTTATTGAAACATTGTCATCATCACCAGAGTTGTAATAAAATAAAATATAATGAAATGACCTAATTACAGTCATCTCTTTTCTTTCTTCCACTGCATTTTTAGAAAATGGGTCAAAGTCAATAGGATATTTATGTTCTTTTACTGCCTCCAGTTTATTAACTTGAGTATTCATTTCCTGAACATACGAAATTTACTAAATAAAAGGGTTGAGAAATGGAATAAAGATTTAAAAAAATCATTGCTACTGCTCTGTATGTTAGTACATCTCTCTCCGACACACCGGAACTGCTCACCTTCCAATTCCAGAAAAGACATTTTTTTAATGACTTGCAAAGTAAACTTTCCTTTCTTCTTATAGGTGGAATGGCTAAAAAATGAGGAGCCCATTGACTCTGAACAAGATGAGAACATTGACACCAGAGCTGACCACAACCTCATTATCAGGCAGGCTCGGCTCTCGGACTCAGGGAATTACACCTGCATGGCAGCCAACATCGTGGCCAAGAGGAGGAGCCTGTCAGCCACAGTGGTGGTTTATGGTAAGACCAGCCCAAAGGCCAGGAATGGATAGGGAGGATGGAAAGCAGAGAAGTAGAGGGAAGTGTATTTTATTAAAACTTCCAACTTTAAGAACTTGAGAGGACTTTAGTGGTCATCCGCTACAGCGTTCTCTCCTGCCTCTCTTATTTGGAAGGTGAGACTACACTTCTATTCCCATTAATGTGTTTGCTCTTCCCTCCAGTATTGGACTTCTGAGATAGTCAATGACATTTCCAATCTCTCTCTTTTAAAAATAATTTTAAAAGTTGTTTATTTTCTTCTATTGTGCTTATCTTTGAAAATAACTGAGGTGGGCAACTTCTGCTTCCCCTCCTTCCCAAACCCAATATGCACCCCCATCCTCTCCAGTCCTGCTGTAAGCAGTTCCTCTCTTGGAGCTACCCAAAACAAACATTACTATGTGCTAAATATCTCAGGTGTTATATAAAAGAAATTCCCAGTTATCTAAGTAAAGGCAATCCCTTCCATAATAGAAGAGCCCTGGGATTTATTTTTGAAGCGCTTCAAGTAGTAGAAATTCAAATGCTGATATTTTCTTCTTATACTCTGGATTTTCAAGTGGTTTAGACATATTTTGATGAGTTCTTCGCATTTTTCATAATTTCCCTGCAAAGAAAATTCTCTGTGTTCCTCCTATATCATATGAGTAGACTGAGGCGCAGAGATGAGGGAAGCCCCACTGTGCCCCACGATGGAGAACCAGTGGGCATCCGCACAGTCTCTTGGTCCCTGGATGCCCAACTCACAACACCTGGCACAGTGGCTTGCACATAGTAGGCAATCAGTAAAAACCTCTCTCCTTTTTTTCTCCCCTCCCCATTTTTCTCTCTCAGTGAATGGAGGCTGGTCTTCCTGGACAGAGTGGTCAGCCTGCAATGTTCGCTGTGGTAGAGGATGGCAGAAACGTTCCCGGACCTGCACCAACCCAGCTCCTCTCAATGGTGGGGCCTTTTGTGAGGGCATGTCAGTGCAGAAAATAACCTGCACTTCTCTTTGTCCTGGTGAGATATGTGTAGATCACCTTTTCCCTTCTGATCCACCAACACTATTAAGCTGGTGTGAAGCATTCAATATAACCTTCCTTCCCAAAGTTACCCACTCCTTAGTTCTTAGAATGGAGCCTTTGTCCAAAGTGCTAACATGGAACTCATTGTAATGGCAAGAACATGGGTGAAATAGCCCTGTTTGGAGGCAAATTTTTTTTTAAATCCTCAATGACCCTGGACACTTACCATCAATAAGCCAAATGCTTTGAAGTATTTTTACACTACCAGTGTTTTGTTAGGCTAAGCCATCCCCTTCTCTCCTTGGGTTCTCCCATGTTGTAGCATTCATTTGTATCATAGCTAGCGGGGATTGAGTTGTCTGTGAGCAGAAAACAGTTACCAAAAATTTGACCCTTTATCATTGGTTACCAACCAACTGACCTTATCAGACTTAGTTTTGTATTTATCGACAGTGCAATTGGCAGAAATTGTACAGTATCAAAGAAGTTTATATTTTACATTTGGTCTATGTTTGCTTTCCTTTCTGAATAGAGAGAGACTTCAGTTATCAAGTATGGCGTTTATAAGTTCTTTTGTTTGTCTCTCACTGGCTCTAACCTGATTTATACAATAAGAAAGAGATGAGATGGAAGATGACTTCCTTTATGGGAAGCATATCCTCCCACTGAGAAATAAATTGATCTGAGTCTCACAAGCATTATAAAACATTAACTCTGAGGACACTGGACTAGAGCCTCATGTCTTTAAAATTTCAAATCTAGTTCCACTCAAACCCAAGGTGAGGCTCCTACCAGCAGCATATTCTCGGAGTTTCATTTTGAACTCGTATTCAATAAACATTTATTGAGTGCTTACTATGTGCCAGGTACTGTGCAAGATACTTTTACACATGGAACGTCATTGAATTCTGTGTTGTGAGTTTTCTTATCCCCAGTTGACAGAAATGGTAAAGTGAGTCTAAGTGATTTGCCCATGGTTGCTCAGCTAATAAGATGACAGAACCAAAACAAGGAGTCAGACATTTTGCTTCAAGTTCAGTATTTTTGCTGTTACCCTATTCTCAACTAATTGCTCTACATTAAAAATTAAAGCATCTTAAATAGCCCACATAAGCATGGTTGGACTATTCCTAGGGAGTAATGGAACAGTTGCTTCCAACAGCTGTCGTCATTTCTAGGGTTGATTTGTAGTGGAATTGGATTCAGTTTGTTTGTTGCTACATATGGCAGCAATCCATGACCCAAGAAACTCTGTTTATGTAAGTCCTAGTGTCTTGGGATTTGACTGACCTGTTTTAGTTTAATACTATCAATATATATCAGTTTAACTTTTTATTGTTTAGAGATTTCTAGAGCTTATAGAGAGTTCATTCCATTCTCTGTTCTATACTGTCAACCCATACCAAGTGGTGATTACCAGTGGTTACTGGACGTAGTTTATCTGTCCGTCTAAGATGCACTTGGGCATGAAAGACTGAGAAAGAGTGGATAATGATATTATTAGCCAACCCAAGGGCACTGGTAATTCGAATGCTTGCTGAAATTCAGTCATAGGGCTCATCCTGAAATAGCAAGAGAATTACACCACTGCATTCATTAGCCTATCTGTTTAGAAAAGAAACCATGGAGAGAAGATAAACAGATACATTATTTTGTTTTTGTTGTAGTGGTTAGTTCTTCAAAATTCAGTTGTAAGAACAACAGTAGTCCTGGGGTGAGTCTCCTTATAGCTACCTAATTCATTCTAATAATGGTTCCTGTCATTTCCCTTTGAAGTGGATGGGAGCTGGGAAGTGTGGAGCGAGTGGTCAGTCTGCAGTCCAGAGTGTGAGCATTTGCGGATCCGGGAGTGCACGGCACCACCCCCAAGAAATGGGGGCAAATTCTGTGAAGGTCTAAGCCAGGAATCCAAAAACTGCACGGATGGTCTCTGCATTCTAGGTAACACCTTCTGTTTCACGTCTTCAGTGTTTGTCCATAATATGAGAAGAACTGTCACAACCATTAATTTGATGAGATAAGTTAGTAGAAAACAAAATTACCAAGACTGAAAGAAAATGGGTGAAAAGTGTGAAAAATGAGACAAATACATTTTTAGTAGAGATGGGGTAATTTTAAATATTTCATCTCTGCAAGTGTCATAAATGTGTATACTAATTACTAATCTAATCAGGTAAGATTTTAAGAGGAATGATTTGAGAAAACGTTGTAGACTTTTTAACTAAGCTGTTCTTTTCCTTTAGGAGCCACCATTCTTAAGTTTGGTGAAATTCTGATACTGATCACCATATGATTATATTTCTCCCAAGAATTTTACAGTACTGTAAAGCATTTAATAATCTCCAGAAAGCATGGATCTGTGGCATGGGACATATATTGTGATGGTTATCTTACAAATGGTGGGAAAAAATATGCCGCCTGAGGAACTGGGTGGCTTTGTATCAAATTGGTCTGGCAGAGCACGAAATAGAATGTTCATTTTGAAACTCCCAAGCCTTAGCTTTATTCCTGAGATTACACTGTTATGGTCTCCAGGTGACTGTCTGCCTGGGTGAGAAAGTATGAGAGAATCAAATAGAGTCACATAGAGACAAGTTTTAATTTGGTGCTATCCCTTACTAGCTTTGTGACCCTGGACAAGTCACTTAACTGCTTAACTTCTTTGACTGTAAGTACCAAAAATGGAACCTATTTTTGGTTATTGTCAAGACTCAGTGATAAAAGAATATATTTGAATATTCCATGGGACAGAGTAGGTGCTCAATAAATATTAATCTCTTCTCCATTTTCCCATTCAGTTAGCTAAGATGTATTGATTTTGCTTAGGTCCTTAAGAAACAGGAGATTCAAGGCAGACATATTCTCTACAATTGGGTTGGCTTCTTGGGAAATATCCAGCCAAAAATATTGTGGCTCAATATTTGGTCATCTTTTCAGGAATCCGTGTCACTTTTATGTGAGAACAGGACAGTATGAAGGAAGTATCTAATTTGGATTTAATTTTCTGCATCAATGTGACTGAGTACCCTTAAAAGCAAGCATCTTCAAACGTGCTAACTGTTCTATTTCCAAAACAAATCTGTAGGGTTAATACATTGGTTTAAATTGTCAATGCATTGAAAGGAGCACTTACTAATACCCCACAGTGCCTTGCTTTGTTCAGTACCAGTACTAAGTGACCTGCATGTGTCAGATGCAAGACAAGGGACTGTAATAGAAGCCAAGCTAGCCAGCATTCTCAGTGATGGCAGGGCTGTGATCCCCAATACGTACATCCCAACCATTTGCCTTCCTCAAAACACCTTCTCCCTTCCAACAGGTAAGGAAATTTAACACAAGCTCCATAACAAGAGCTTTAAGGAAATGTGGTTGTGACTACACTTGACTAGCACCGGTTTATTTGAAATATACCTTTGAGGTGTGACTACTTGTTAAACACATAGCCATATTTTTTAATTGATACAGTTAGGACTGTAAATCTCATTTGTCTTCTAAGGAGCCATTCATAATATAACTCTTTGGTCACTGGTTGAATTTTCTGTATCATATTAATATCCTTTCTTATCAACCACTGATTGAACTTGCACTTGGGGAAAAAAGTTTATGGATTATCAGACTTCAACCTTAGTTGACTAAGGCTTAATCTTAGAGTTACTGATTGAAGACAGAAAATAGTTAGCTCCTAAAGTAAGAAAAAGTTATTATTAAATACAGGAATGTTATTTATTTGCATTTGTATTGCAATATGTAGTCATTTGTCATTTGAGTAAGAGTTCTGTTTAGGGCTGAAAGGAACTACCAGAACTGAGAGTATACTGGCCCACCTCGATTCCAACTCTAAAGTCTGAGATGTGTATTCATCTGGGTGCTCCAAAGAAACAGAACCAATAGGACATATACGCTGTACGTGTATATACATGTATATACACACAGATAGATAGGTATATAAGGAGGTTTATTATAAGGAATTGGCTCATATTATTATGGAGGTTGACAAGTCCAAAATATACAGAGCTGATGTCCCAGTTCAAACACTGTCAGGCAGGAGAATTCTCTTACTTGGGGCGGATCAGGCCTTCGACTGATTGGATGAGGCCCACTCACCATTATGGAAGACAATCTGGTTTTCTGAGTCTGCTGATTTAAATGTTCATCTCATCTGAAAACACCCTCACAGCATAATGTTTGATCAAGTATCTGGGCACCTGATGGCCCAGTCAGGTTGATACATAAAATTAACTATCTCAGATGCATATGTACTTGTGAAGTTCCAAAGCTTAGTTCTTTCTTTGGAGCCAGTCTTGGCCATAGTTCAGGCAGTCACTTTAAGCAATTCATTTGTTTACTCAATGAACCCTTATGATGGACATTGACTGTGTACGGTTTTTAGTCACATATGTGTAGTTTAGTGGGTATTCTGTTTCTATTTTTGTGTAGTGGGAATAAAATAGCTAGGAAGACAAGGAGGTTTGGAATGTGTTCAGCATGGGAAGTAAGACCTCTGTTAAATCGCCCCATGGGTTTAAAATGCTATGTGAGCCTTTCCTTTCTATTCATTCATGTATTTCCTTTTCTATCTAAGAATGGTTTTCCTACTATCTTTTACCTCCATAGTATGCACATTAATATGTCTGTCAAATACAATCAGAGACTCTTGATGGTTACAGTGACTAAGATTTTTAAGGAAAAAAGAGTATATCTCCTATGAAATCACAGAGAAGAATGAGATATATTTACATATCAGTGGGAAAGAGGTGTGTTTGGAAGAGCCTGACACCAGGATATATTCTGTCCTTTTAGACAAGAGTGGGTTACCAATGTCAACAAAAATGGATAACATTTTATTATCTCTGCAGAAAGTAATGAACAGCAATGCAGATAATGATGCCAACATCACTCTGTGCTTTTCGCTGGTACTCTGGCTGACTGCTCTTGGTGAAACTAGCTGTGCTCTCAAGATAGAGATCCAATGAAGGCTGGAGTTGATTAAAATGACATTTGGCAATAGCTTTATGGAGCAGTAGCTTTGTGAAGGATCTAGGTCATGTTGCAATTTGGGAATTTCCTTCATCCTAATTTTTTCCCTTTATGCCAAACATGACCCTAAAACAGTTCCTCAATTCCCAACTCATCTTAGAGGTTTAACAATGACATTGCTTGGCACTCGGATGACCTACAGTTCTTTGACTTTATTTAGTTTTCAACAAAGCATCTGGATTTCCCTTGTTGTCCCTGAGGGCTGCATTTCTCCTAGAGATGGAGCTGCCAGCTCTGAATGATCACTTTAATATTTGGGTGTGATTGTTGCTTGGTCAATTGTGACTGGAGCGCAGAACCTTAGTGTTATGCTATCACAGATGGCCACACCTAAATGCTCTCAACAAGAAAATAAATGCTCCGAGACAGGTGAGAGTAAGATTAGGCAGTTTTGCCAATAGCAGTTAGTCCAAGGATTCAAATTGAAAGCATAAACTAAACAGCCAAGCCCTTTATGCTAGAGCATTATTTTTTTCCAGAAAGATAATTATGTGGTATAATTGTCAAGAAACAATAACTTGTGGATCCATGCTTTCTAAGCTTAAACACCAGAATCAGGTAGTTTTCTGACCGATGTTGTTTCTACTTGCTGAACTTAGCTACTTCCATGGTCTGGGGATCACAGCCAGAGGTAAATAACATACACATGACAGGAAGAGAAGGGTGAAATGTTGTGGTGTTTAGTATGATCCTGAGGAAAAGAGAAGCCTGCTCCCCCTCCCTTTGTTCCAGCAGCTATGAAACTCAGGGCTTTGGCTTCAAAAGATTAAGTGGATCTTCTTCAGAGGGGATTAGTGCCCAGATGTGTAGTGGGACTGAAGCCAGAGAAATGTCACAGGGGCCTGAAAGAGAGAGGAAGTCTCCAAGGCTGAGCTACTGATGGCTAATCTGTCCTTCTTGTCAAGATGTAAGATAGGTCAGTTCAACATTGACACTTCAAACACTGAAATATCAGTTCAATGGTGGTTTGTTTTCGTTTCTGATGGGTACATTGATAAGAAAAATTTGAATTGACAGTTTAGAAATCACATCAAGGATAAAGACATCTATACAATAGCAGTTTTAAATAAACATCCCAAGCCACATCTAATAATCTAACCACATTGTCTTTTGAATGACCTTCTTAAATGACCTAAAGGAAACACCTGAAAAGGTGAGCCTGTAATCACATCAAAATAAAGGTTGCCTTGGTAAGCATTTTCTCTTGGACCATTCTAAGCTTCATTGTTATCCATTACAGTAATTACCTGGGTCCCTTCTCTGTATATCCTAGGGCACTGAAGAAGAGAATTTTCATTCCGGAGTTAGTTCAGTACATCCGAAACGACTCTTACTTTTTGCTACTGGTTTACGGAAGGTGTATTTTGTACAGTACACAGGATTATAAAGGATGAATTTCTCTTTACTAAAACAAAACCCATCATTTCCTTTCTTTGGGCAAAGAGTCAGGAATCATACTTGACTCATTCTTAAACTTTTTGTTGGACAAGTTCATATTTCAGGGCCAGCTGCACTGCACAATTGCTTAATTATGGCATAGTGAAACTATATAGCAAAGACATGAAAATGGCATCAGCAAGAGAACATGCTAACACAATGCATCCTTAAGTTGTCATGAAGTTTCCTACTGGTTGCTAATTCTTCCAAGTCATTTGAATATTACAGACCCATTTCTATTCTATTTATAGTACATAGTAGGTTCTCCTTTTTACATAAAGATTTTTCCTAGAAATTCCCAATAACTGCCTTTCTGCGTAACAAACAACTGATTAATTCAGGGTTGCCTTCATGTATACTGCATAGCAAATGTGGATATCATATTGCAGACACACAGGAATAATAAGAATGTAGATTTGGACACATATGGTGTCATTAGCAGCTTAGCAACAATCTCTCCCCTATGC